GTGACCAGCTGTCTCACAGCCACAGTGGTTTTTCAGCCAAGGGCTGCTCTGCAGAGGCAGGGCTAACTGCGTGTCAGGCCTTAGGAAGAGGCAGCATGTGGCCTCACCCGTCTGGAGCAGCCCTGGCTTTAAGCAGGGTCAGTGGCTGCTATCTAATCCCAAACCAAGTGCAGCTTCTCTTGAGCACGCATGGCTCAGTCCAAGTCTCCACTTTGAAGAAGAGTCCCTTCCATAATTCAGCCTGTGGTCATGGAGGTGTTCTGCCAGGTCTGCGGGAGAACCCTGACCTCCCAGGCTAACAGGCTGCGGGAGGAGGTGCTGAACCTGGCAGTGCCACCTAGGCAGGGAGTAGCAGAATCTCAGAAGCACAGGCGCTGGTCCGTCCATATAAATAAGGCCTCTTGGAATACAGCCACATCCGTTTATTTACTCTTTTCTGTGGCTGCTTGCATGCTACAACTTCAGAGTTGAGTCGTTTCTACAGACCTTACGACCTGAAAAGCCTAAAGTATTTATTTATTCCCTGACCTTTCATAAAGTCTGACAACTCATCTACATACATGTTTGTATCTTCTCCATCTTTTTTTACTTTTTAAAGAGATGCCAGTCTCATTGTGTCACAAAGGCAGGAGTGCGCTTACTCTTCTCAGGTGTGATCATAGCACAGTAGAGCCCCAAACTCCTCATCCTCCCACCTCAGCCTCCCAAGTAGCTGGGACTACAGACGTGTCGCCATGCCTAGATCGTCTCCAACTCTGAAAAATAATCTTGACCCTACTTCTTCCTTTAGCCACCACTTTATCCAGTCATCCATCCATCCATCCATCCATCCGTCCGTCCGTCCGTCCGTCCGTCCGTCCGTCCATCTATCCATCCATCCGTCCATCCATCTATCCGTCCGTCCATCCATCCGTCCGTCCGTCCATCCATCCATTCATTCATCCATCCATCCATCCTATTCCATTTCTCAAAACAAGGTATTTTTGTTTCGTTTTGTTTATGTGGCTGGTCATGTGGAGCGGAAAGACTGGAGAAGGAAGGAAGAAACCCTGATATTGTGACCAATTAGGTGTAAACACTGCTGCACCTGACTAGCCACAGAAATAGTGTCTTCTGTAATCCTAGCACTATCCTAGCACTTTGGGAGGCCGAGGCAGGCACACTGCCTGAGCTCAATAGTTCAAGACCAGTCTGGCCAACAACGGTAAAAAACCCGTCCCTTCTACAAATACAAAAAATTAGCTAGGCATGGTGATGTGCCCCTGTAGTCCTAGCTACTCAGGAGGCTGAGGCATGAGAATCGCTTGAACCCAGGGGGCGGTGGTTGCAGTGAACCAAAATCATGCCACTGCACTCCAGCCTGGGTGACAGAGACTCTGTCTCAAAAAAAAAAAAAAAGTCTTAATGTGTTTTTAAAAATTTATTTTTGCCGGGCACGGTGGGGCTCAAGCCTGTAATCCCAGCACTTTGGGAGGCCAAGGCGGGTAGATCATGAGGTCAAGAGATCGAGACCATCCTGGTCAACATGGTGAAACCCCGTCTCTACTAAAAATACAAAAAATTAGCTGGGCATGCTGGCACATGCCTGTAATCCCAGCTACTCAGGAGGCTGAGTCAGGAGAATCGTTGAACCCAGGAGGCTGAGGTTGCAGTGAGCCAAGGTTGCACCGTTGCACTCCAGCCTGGGCAACAGAGCCAGATTCCGTCTCAAAAATAAATAAATGAAGATAGGGTCTCACTATATTGTCCAGGCTGGTCTTCAACTCCTGGGCTTAAGTGATCCTCCCACCTCAGCCTCCAAAGTGCTGAGATTCTAGTGAGAGCCACTGCACCTGACTTTAATGTTTTTTATACAAGTGATATGTGCACATGCTTTAGAAACTCAGACAGATGTCAGGGCTGGTGAGGAAAGGCCCCCCCAACGTCCCAAGTCATGACCCTCAGAGGCGATCACTGAATTCTTTCAGCGGTTTTCTCCAATGTTAATCTCCATGTTTCTAAATAAAACACACATATATTTCTTCTTCCCTTATCAATTTTAGACATTATGAATTAACTTCCTATAATAGAAGGCAAAGCTTTCCCCACCACCCAACTTCCGTCTCCCTTTCCCTCCTCCAAAGTTACAGGGTATGTAAATGTTCCGTCTCCCTTTCCCTCCTCCAAAGTTACAGGGTGGGTAAATGGACATCCTGTGTTTCCCTCACAGGAGTAAGTTAAGCACTGCTCACAGCTGAGCTGGTTTGTTTATTTAGGGCATCTCTGCTTCCTTATGTAAGTCTCCCCCAAGTTCACAGTCCTGTTCCGCCTGCTTGGTTCTATGCTTATCTACTACTGATCTCCCCCAAACTCTGAGACTCTCCTGGCTCACTGATGCTATTGGGGTATTCCTGTCCTGATCCAGAAGACCCAGCCCCACTCTCCAGCCCCCATACCTGTCTCTCAGCTCTAATCTGCCACTAAACTGGGCCACATTTGGGAGTGGGAGGAATGGGGGCTATCAACAGTGATGCTGACACAGCAGGTGTGACCAGCACACCAGAGAACACAGCAGCTGCTGGCTGTAGCCGCCCCACCATAAGCCCTCAGCTCCTTGCCAGCAAGGCCCCGCTCAGGCTGGAACTCTCCTCCCCATGCCAGCTCAGCTCCCCTTGTCTGAGAGGACCTGCCTGACCACTCCTGACCACCCCCTGCCACAGGGACACCCTGGGTCCCTATCCTGCTTTATTTTCCTTCTAAGACAAAAGCCAGCAAAGAATTTCTGTAAATGGCCAGATAGAAATTATTTTTCATGGCCCCTGCTAGAGCCGCTCAACACTGCATGAGCCGGACGTGGTGGCTCACGCCTGTAATCCCAGCACTTTGGGAGGCCGAGGCAGGCGGATCACAAGGTCAAGAGATCAAGACCATCCTGGCCAACATGGTGAAACCCCGTCTCTTAAAAAAAGAAAAAAAAAAAAAAAAACAACACTGCATGAGATGTGGATGAGTGTGGCTGTGTCTAACAAGACTTCATTGGTGTTCATTGAAATGTGAATTTCATGTCTTTCTCACGCATGTAACAAAATATTCTTCCTTTGATTTTTTTTTCCCCCAACCATTTAAAAAGGTAAAACCAGCTGGGCACAGTGGCTTACACATGTAATCCCAGCACTTTGGGAGGCCAATGTGGGTGGATCACTTGAGCCCAGGAGTTTGAAACCAGCCTGGGCAACGTGGCGAAACCCCGTCTCTACAAAAACAGCCGGGCATGATAGCACGCACCTGTAATGCCAGCTACTCGGGAGGCTAAGGCGAGAGGATCACTTGGGACTGGGAGGCAGGGACTGCAATGAGCTGAGATCGAGCCACTGCGCTCCAGTCTGGGTAGAGTGAGACCCTGTCTCCAAAAACTAAACTGAAAAGCCAGGCGCAGTGGCTCACGCCTGGAATCCCAGCACTTTGGGAGGCCAAGGTGGGAGGATCACTTGAGGTCAGGCGTTTGAGACCAGTCTGGCCAACATGGTAAAACCCCGTCTCTAAAAAAAAAAAAATTAATTAAAAAAATTAAAATGAAATATGTAAAACCATTCTTCGCTCACAGGCCACACAGAAGCAGGATATGACCTGCAGGACGAGGTTTGCTGACCCGTATGTATTGCCCACTTCCTGGTGTGGCATCAATGGAGACACTGTGGACCACGTGCTCTTCTCAGAGCTGCACAGGAGGAGCTGGGGGGCTGCCTCCGCCCCATCCTTGCTTACCCTCTGTCCCGACCCAAGGCCCTGCGGCTCCAGCTGTCTCACTACCCTGCCCCTTCCCTCTGCGTCATCTCCCAGCATCCTGGCCAGGGCTGAATGGACATTTCAGGAAAACTTTGAGAACAGATGGTACTACGAATGACAACGATGTATCTCCTTCAGGCTTAAGACCCTAAACTGAAGCACTTCCCAGGACTGTGGGGTCAGATACTGCACATCTCTCCTGCCGGGCCATTTTGTAGACCTGGAGCCAACCCTGCTGACAGTGCGGCCACACGCTGCAATGCCACCCGAATCTATCACGGGATCCATCTTTTTTCCCAACATATTGCCACTCAAAACACTCTGACCTGTACCAACCTAAAATTAACTTTACTTGTAACTCAGAATGAGAAAATGCAGGCACGAGACAGTAAAAATTCCTTTTTCTTTAAGACAGGGTCTCACTCTGTCACCTAGGCTGGAGTGTAGTGGCACAATCATGGCTCACTGCAGCCTCAACCTCTCAAGTTCAAGCAATCCTCCTACCTCAGCCTCCCAAGTAGCTGGAACCACAGGTGTACGGCACCACGTCTGGTTAATTTCTAAAAAAATTTTTTAGGCTGGGCACGGTGGCTCACACCTGTAATCCCAGCACTTTGGGAGGCTGAGGCAGGCAGATCACAAGGTCAAGAGATTGAGACCATCCTGGCCAACATGGTGAAACCCTGTCTCTACTAAAAATACAAACATCAGCTGGGCTGAGTGGTGACGTGCGCCTGTAGTGCCAGCTACTTGAGAGGCTAAGACAGGAGAATTGCTTGAATACAGGAGGCGGGAGGTTGCAGTGAGCCAAGATCACGCCACTGCACTCCAGCCTGGCGCCTGATGACAGAACAAGACTTTGTCTCAAAAAAAAAAAAAAAAAAAAAATTTTTTTTTTTTTTTTTAATAGAGAGAGGGTCTCGCTAGGTTGCCCACTTTGGCAGGCTGAGGTGGGTGGATTAATTGAGCCCCTGGTCTCAAATTCCTCGGCTCAACTAATCCACCCACCTCAGCCCCTCAAAGTGCTGGGATTACAGGTGTGAGTCACTGCACCTAATCTCCAAACTCTAAAACATCATACCCATGGGAATGCCCTCCTCACTTCTCAGATGGAGTGGATTTTTAAGGCTTGCTTCTTCCTCAGAAAGCCCCAAGTCTTGCCATCCTCAGACACTGCCTGCGGCATCCCCACAGTACTGCCTGGCATACGGGCCCATCAAAGCTTTGGTACGTACTTGAAGCGAACTTTCTCCTCCATGTCCAGGGGTGGCTCCTGTGTGATGAGGCTCACCAGCTGCTCCATGCACTGCTGCCTGCACAGGAAATCCAGCAGCTTCTGGTTCTGAGCCTTACACTCCTGCAAGATGTCATCTTCATCCATCAACTCCTGCAGCGTCACATGCTCCTTGTCCAGCAGCTTGTCAACATGGGACGTGGTGTTCAAGTCAAACTTCCAGAACATGGTGACGGCCACGGAGCTGCAAGTGAGGGCAAAGGGGTCATTTCTCACCTCCGCAAATCCGCCCTCAGCAATACTAGACTCCAGCCCCAGCATGAACACACAAGATTCCCAGAGCACAGGAATGTCGGTAGCTCTTCCCAGTAACCATTCTCATCAGACCTCTCCAGGTTGGAGTCACAAAGTTAGCACAGTCTTCCCAGCTACTCAGCAGCTCTGAGGCTGCATCCCCCAGCTCCAGGACCTGCCTCTCCAGGTTCTCTTCTGGGCTGACCCCTTCCTCCCTTGCCCTCCTTCCCCACACTGTCCCCCATCCACCAGAGTGCTCCATACGCCCCTCAATGCTCTTGCTTGCTCTGCAGTTGTTGGGCGAAAGCATCCAGGTGTCTCCCGTGTCTCAGGGACGCCTTCCATCCTGAGAGAACACTGGACATCTCCCCGCCGAAAGTCACACATTTGTTTGTGAGCAAACTCAGCAAGTCAAACTCAAGATAGCTGATGCTGTTTGACCCTGCACTCACTCCTCTGCCACCCCCCAGCCACCCGGCCCCTCCACTCATTGTCCCCATCTTGTGGAATCACACTCAGGGTTCTCTCGGAAGCAGGCACCTCCTCCCACATACACCAACTAGGCACAAGGTCTTGCCACAGCCACCTGAGAAATCATAGATCCAGCCCCCCCTCTGCTTCCCAAACATCCCAGCTCTGGCTAGCTTTGCCTGGACACACGAGGTTTATCCTTCCTAGGGCCTCACATGTCATTCTGTAAGCCAGGGCTGGTCAGCGACAAAGTTTTCACTATTGTGATAGAGAAAACATAAAGCCTACATCTTTAACAAAGTTCAAACTTTATTGTGAGATTATAAATCTTTTCAATGTTACATGAAACATTATTTTTAAAATTATAGTAAGAGTAGATGAATTTCTCTTACCTAATATTTTTACTTAGAAGAAGAAAAGGTTGACCATAGATATAAATGCCCAGGTGTGTCTGTCTGTAAAGCCTGTGCTGCCCTAGGACCCCTGACATGGGAGCCTCTGCCATCCAGTCATATTCCCACAGCCTCTGGTTTGCACTGTTTCATTTATTTTTTTTCAATAAGTATTGCCCATGTAATCCACACCCACAGTTTGTGCTGTTTCAAACTCAACGTGTGCTCATCCTCTCATCTCAGCTTCAAAACCTCTCCTGGCCCCAGAGGCCTACTAGGCTGCTTTCTACAGCATGCCTGCAGGTCCTCTGGGCATCTCCTGGGTACTCTTGGACCCCACCCACACTACAAAGACACTGAACTTTTCTTCCCACACAAACTGCACTTTCCCACTTGTATCCTTCTGCACACGCTCCCCAGCTGCAGCTAAGGGTGAGGCCCTGCAGCCCCCAACCTATACACACCACTACAGTGGGCACTTCTCATGGACTTAGATATGAAGAGCCCAGAGATGGAGCTCTTAAGACCCCAAAATGGGGCTGCTTTGACTTTCAGCACAAGGGACTTCATATATACACTGATACTACATTCGGTTTTGATTTTGGGGTGGGGAAGTTTCGTGTGTGTGTGTGTGTGTACATATATATATATATATATATATATATATTTTTTTTTTTTTTGTAGAGACAGGAATTCACTATGTTGCCCAGGTTGGTCTCGAACTGCTCTGCCTGCCTTGGCTTCCCAAAGTGCTAGGATTATAGGCATTGAGCCACCAAGTCTGGTCTGCATTCAGTTTTCCTTCTGAGTCTTAAGATCTTCCTTATGCTTCTTGTAAGGGGAATGGATACTTATGAGTGGGACAGCTGCCTCCACACGCATACTGGATGCCCCTTTCCTGAAGGCACTACCGGATGTCTCACGTGCTGGAAGACGCACAATCCAGAGAAAGAACTGAACCCCACCTTGCCAATGCTTTTCTTTTCCCCACAATCGGAACTTGCAAGTCAGGACAGTTAGAGGCGCCTTTTGGGAGGTTCTGTTTCTAGCCACAGAATGGTCGAAAGCTGGTGGATCACAAGAGACCATCAACCAAGCAGGTCTTAAACTTTTCTAGCAGAATCATTTAAAACGACTGGATTAATCCAAAAGACCAAAAATAAAAATAAAAATACAAGGAGATAAGCAACAAAAACAGATGAGACAGAAGAAAAATAGCAAGATACCAGACACAAATTCAACCATCTCAGTAAGTGCATTAAATGCGAATAATCATTTCAGTTAAAGACACACATTGTCAGACTGGTTTTATTTTCAGAGGGAGTGTTTTGCCATGTTGCCCAGGCTGGAGCACAGTCCAACAATCAGCTCACTGTGAGCTCAAGCAGTCCTCCCATCTCAGCCTCCCAAGTAGCTAGGAGTACAAACAAGCACCACCATGACCAGCTAATGTTTAAATATTTTGTAGAGATGGGGTCACCCTATGTTGCCCAGACTGGTCTTGAACTCTTGGCCTCAAGTGCCTTGGCCTCTCAAAGCGTCAGGATTACAGATGTGAGCCACTGCATCCAGCCTGAATTTGTTTTTTTTTTTTTTGAGACGGAGTCTCACTGTGTCACCCAGGCTGGAGAGCAATGGCGTGATCTCAGCTCACTGCAACCTCCGCCTCCTGGGTTCAAGCAATTCCCCTGCCTCAGCCTCCCAAGTAGATGGCATTACAGGTGTGTGCCACCACATCCCGCTAACTTTTGTATTCTTAGTAGAGATGGGGTTTCACTATGTCGGTCAAGCTGCTCTCGAACTCCTGACCTCGTGATCCATCTGCTTCAGCCTCCCAAAGTGCTGGGATTACAGGTGTGAGCCACCACACCTGACCCTAAATTTCTTTTATTATGCTGCCACCTACATAGGATTGTTATGTCTTTTTTTTTTTTTGGAGATGGTTTCACTGTTGTTGCCCAGGCTGGAGTGCAATGGTGTAACCGCAGCTCACTGCAACCTCTGCCTGCCAGGTTCAAGCGATTCTCCTGCCTCAGCCTCCCAAGTAGCTAGGATTACAGGCATGTGACACCACACCCAGCTAATTTTTTTTATTTAGTAGAGACAGGGTTTCACCATGTTGGTCAGGCTGGTCTTGAACTCCTGACCTCGTGATCCATCTGCCTCAGCCTCCCAAAGTTCTGGGATTACGGGTGTGAACCACCACACCTGGCCTGTTATGTGTTGATTAATTCTTTGATCATTTTGACATGTCCTTCCTTGTCTTCGGCAATATACCTCGATTTGAAGTCTGCTGTGCCTGATATTCACACAGTACATCCTTCTTATGATTCATGTTTGGTATACCCTTTAACATCCTTTCACTTTCAACCTACCCGTGTCTTTATATTTAAAATGTTTCTCTTGAGGAACAACATATGGGCCAGGCGTGGAGGCTCATGCCTATAATCCCAGCACTTTGGTAGGCTGAGGTAGGTGGATCACCTGAGGTCAGGAGTTTGAGATCAACCTGACCAACACAGTGAAATCCGAACTCTACTAAAAATACAAAAATGAGCCAGGCGTGTTGGCAGGCGCCTGTAATCCCAGCTACTGGGGAGGCTGAAGCAGGAGAACTGCCTGAACCCGGGAGGCGGAGGTTGTAGTGCGCCAAGACAGCGCCACTGCACTCCAGCCTGGGTGACAGTGTGAGATTCCATCTCAAAAAAGAAAAAAGAAAAAAAATCTCTGTATAACAAGAACACGTCTATGTTTCTATCAACTCTCCCACATTCTAAGAAACACTCAAAAATGATCACATCAGGTTGGCATGGTGGCTAACACCTGTAATCCCAGCACTCTGCAGGTCCAAGGCAGGCAGATCACTTGAGGTCAGGAGTTTGAGACCAGCCTAGCCAACCCAATCTCTACTAAAAATATAAAAATTAGCCAGGCATGGTGGCACACACCTGTAATCCCAACTACTCAGGAGGGCGAGGCAGGAGAATCACTGGAACCCATAAGTTGGAGGCTGCAGTGAGGGGAGATCTTGCCACTGCACTCGGGACTGGGTAATAGAGTGAGACTCCATCTCAAAAAAAAAAAAGATCACATCAGAGGCATCCTTTAAGAGTTCACTGTAATGGCACTGGTTTAGTTACAGCTAATTTCACTGTCAGAAAAACTGGTATAAACTGAGTCCAGAACATATACTCAGATAATACTGGGAACTTTTCTCCCACCTGCGCAACTACACCCTATCCTCCACAGACACTAGCATCTTCCCGGTTAGCCCCTACCTACAGGGAAGGCCTTAAATTTCCTTCCCTAAATGACCTCAAGGTCAGTACGGGCAGTATCTTCAGAACAAACAACTGGTTCATGGCCCAGCTTGTTGATTTAAGACATTTCTGGTTACACCTGGAGTATCAACCAAGCATAAGGGCTCCTCTCACATCCTGACACCCCATCCTCAGGAGTCCATCAGGGATGTCAAGCACAGTATATGCAACCTCTCCTAGAAGCTTCCCCAATGCTAAGTGAAAGGAACTTGAAGTTGAGCTTCTTTACCTTTTTCAGGATGACATAACCATCAAACAGAAGGTCGATTTCAAACAGAAGTGTTGCCCATATGATCACACAGTTCCATGAAAGAGCCCTTTAAAAGAGAACATTCTGTGATAGAGACTGTTGCTAAGAGAAAATTAGAATCTGAAATGCCCTATTACCTGTCTGGCCACAAATGTTTTTTTTTTATTTATGGATATTTTTGAGGCAGGGCCCTGCTCTGTGAGCCAGGCTGGAGTACAGAGGCCTGAACACAGTCACTGCAGCCTTGAATTCCTGGCTCAAGCAATCCTCCCGCCTCAGCCTCCCAAAGTGCTGAGATTTTAGGCATGAGCCACCTTGTCCAGCATTGTGGCTTTTTTTTAAGATAGGGTCTCACTCTGTCACCAAGGCTAGAGTGCAGTGGTGGGATTCTTTCTGGCAGACTGCAGCTTCAACCTCCCAGGCTTTAGTGGTCCTCCCACTTCAGCCCGCCAAGCTGGGAGTATAGGCATGCAACACCACACCCAGCTAATTTTTGCACCTTTTTTTGTAAAGACAAGGTTTTGCCATATTACCCAAGTTGGTCTGTTTTAAATCCTAAACTTTTTTTTTTTTTTTTTTAGAGACCAGGTCTTGCCATGTTGCCCAGGCTGGTCTTGAACACCTGGGCTCAAGCAATCCCACACCTGCCTCAACCTCCCAAGATGCTGGGATTACAGCATGAGCCACTGGCGCCCAGGCACCATGTTTTTCTTTTAAAGATTATGATCGAAGTCCTAGCTCTGTGGTGTGACCTGAGGCCAGTTACATGATCTCTCATGCCTTGATTTCCTCACCTAAAAATGCATCAATAAACACCCCCTGTGGTGAGGATTACTGAGTTATTCCACATAAAGGACCTAGCACGGTTCCCAGCACATTTCATTATCAGGACCCTCAGTGGAAAGAGATGGAGACAGCGGTAAGGCACTGTGCTCACAGAGGCCATGCTCCGTGGTGGCAACCGGGGCCCTCATACCTCTCTTCCCTCTTCCACCTTCAGGGCATCACATTGGCAGCTCAGCTCGAACGTGGTGGGAGTATTAATACCATGGAAATCAGCAAGTGTTACAAACCAGGAGGTTTTATCCTTCCCCAGAAAGCCCGCTGTTAAACATTTACCAACATACCACTGGACAGGCTGAATGCTTGATTTCCATTTGGCCTGAAAAGAAACGCCAGTGTGACCCCATGAAGCACAATGAATATTTTTACAACCAAGGAGCAAACAAGACTATGTCTATCCTGGGCATAGTCCACTGGGGAAAAGACCAAAAAAAAGTCTAACTTTAAAAAGCAGGTGGAGTGGGGCAAACAGGTTAAGTAAAAATCCAAAGTCAGAAGTGAAAAGAGGCCAGGCACAGCTCACGCTTGTAATCCCAACAATTCAGACGGCCAAGGCAGGAGGTTCGCTGGAGCCCAGGAGTTCAGGACAAGCCTGGGCAACATAGTGAGACCCCATCTCTACAAAAACAATTTTTTTTTAATTAGCTGTGCATGGTGGTGTGTGCCTATAGTCTCAGCTACTTGGGAGGCTGAGACAGGAAGATCACTTGAGCCCAGGAGGTTGAGACTGCAGTGAACTATGATCATACTCTTTCACTCCAGCCTCGGTGACAGAGCAAGACCCTGTCTCAAAAATAAATAAATTAGCCAGGCATGGTGGCTCACAAGGTCAAGAGATCGAGACCATCCTGGTCAACATGGTGAAACCCCGCCTCTACCGAGGCAGGAGAATTGCCTGAACCCGAAAGGCGGAGGTTGCGGTGAGCCAAGATCGCACCATTGCACTCTAGCCTGGGTAACAAGAGCGAAACTCCGTCTCAAAAAAATAAAATAAATAATTTTAATATATAAGTAAAGTTCTCAAAGGCTGCTTCTTCCCAAAAACGGTCGTAAGGTACCACAGAAGAGCAGAGCAGATAGGAAGAGAGGCCCTGGATCCACACCCTCCACCTGTGACTCCGAACATGTGTGGGAGAAACTCTACTTGTCTTGTTTCCAGTCTCCCTTTCTTCAACAGGACAGAGGTCAGCTGGGTACATGGCCACCCTCCCAAGCCTAACTTTTCCAGCCTTCCTTACAGCCAGTGTCATCATGTGACTAAACTCTGGTCACTGGGATGGGAGTAGAAGTGACACTGGAACCTCGAGCTCTTACTGTGTGACCTTCCTTGGTTCTAATTCTTCCGCCTAGTGGGAAACCAAGAACCATAAAGACTCTTCTAGATCCACGAGTGGAAGCCACAAGCTGAGGAAGGCCACCTGCCAGACCAGACTGTTAGATGAGAAAGACGTGCTTGCACCTTGCTCAAGCCATTGTTCTTTGGGACCTCGTTGTCGCAGCTCAGTTTGTGCCTTGCTACAATTTGAGCAAGCTTTTTTACCACCCTCAGTCTATGGCTTGAATATATAACCCCTTCCAAAACTCATGTGAAAACCTAATCCCCAGCTGGGCGTGGTGGCTCACATCTGCAATCCCAGCACTGTGGGAAGCCAAGGCGAGGGGATCACCTGAGGTCAGGAGTTTGAGACTAGCCTGACCAACATGGCAAAACCCCATTTCTACTAAAAATACAAAAATTAGCCAGGAACGATAGTGTGTGTTTATAATCCCAGCTACTCGGACGGCTGAGGCACGAGAATCGCTTGAACCTGGGAGATGGAGGCTGCAGTGAGTCTAGATTGTGCCGCTGCACTCCAGCCTGGGTGGCAGAGCGAGATTCTGTCTCTAAAATAAAACAAAACAAAACTTAAACCCAATTTGACAGTATTGAAAGGTAGGGCCTCCAAGAGGTAACTGGATTAATCCATTCATGAATTGATGAGTTATCAAGTGTGGAACTGGTGGCTCTATAAAAAGAAGAGGTTGGGTGTGGTAGTGAGGTAAAGTGTTCTCTTTCTGGGTCCACAAGGGGGCACAGTTTTAAGGGCAAGAAATTCCCAGCGCCATGCCCTCCTCCCATCTCTCTCCATCTGGGAGATTTAATGGTTTATGTTTAAATTTTGTGGGCACGGGAAGAAACTAAAAGTCAATCACTCCAGCGGAAGTTCTAAGGAAGTCCTTTCATTGGCCAGGGGTCTTACAGAAGGTGGGGGTTCCTCCCAGGTTACAAGTCCCCTTCTTCCACACCCCTTCAGACTCCATGTTTGGGTCCCCTTCCACAAACACTCTCTCATGGAAGCCATCTTTCTTTCTCCTGGATTTCCCTTCTGGGGTCCCCTTCTATACTCTCTCGTGGAAGCCTGCCTTCCCCTCCTAAACTCCATCTCTCTCTCTTTATTCCCTTCCACTCAATGTGGAGGCTGCTTTCCTCTCCTGGATTCCCTCTTTCTGGATTCTCTCAGTGTGAGAGGAACTTTCCTTCTCTGGTTTTCCCCCGCTGGGAACCCTTCTCACTCAGTGTGAGAGTTTGCTGTTTCTCTTTCCTTCTCCTTTTTCTCTAACAAATCACTTTTAAAAAACACTTTTGAATCCGGCATTTATTGCACACTGTGCTGTGGTCCCCTCTCTCATTCTTGAGAGGGCAGAAGACCAAGAACCTGGAGAAACATCCTCTCAGGGGAGCTGAGGGCACCCTGAACCCCAATATAACAGTAGCCCATGCCTGTGATCCCAGAACTTTGGGAGACTAAAGGCAGGAGGATCACTTGAGGCCAGAAGTTTGAGACCCACCTGCTAGACATGGCAAGACCCGTCTCCATGAAAAACAAAACAAAATTAGCTGAGCGTGGTGGTGTGCACCTACAGTCCCTCAAGACCATTAGTAATCACGGAAATGCACATTAAAATCACAGGAGGCCGGGCGCAGTGGCTCAAGCCTGTAATCCCAGCACTTTGGGAGGCCAAGGAGGGTGGATCACGAGGTCAAGAGATCCAGACCATCCTGGTCAACAAGGTGAAACCCCGCCTCTACTAAAAATACAAAAAAAATTAGCTGGGCATGGTGGCGTGTGCCTGTAATACCAGCTACCCAGGAGGCTGAGGCAGGAGAATTGCCTGAGCCCAGGAGGCGGAGGTTGCGGTGAGCCGAGATCGCGACATTGCACTCCAGCCTGGGTAACAAAAGCAAAACTCCATCTCAAAAAAAAACAAAAAAACCTGTCTCTACTGAAAAAACAAAAATTAACTGGGCATGGTGGCACATACCTGTAACCCTAGCTATTTGGGAGGCTAAGGCAGGAGAATCACTTGAACCTGGGAAGTGGCGGTTGCAATGAGCTGAAATTGTGCCATTGCACTCCAGCCTGGGTGACAGAGTGATACCCTATCTCAAATAAATAAATAAATAAATAAGCTTGTAAATTTCACCCCCCCCCCAAAACACACACCCTCTGCTGATGATCACAGGTTTTTTATTGGGATTGCATTGAATTTCTACATCAGTTTGAGGATAACTGGTATATTTATATTATTTTATTTTTTGAGACAGAATCTCGCTCTGTCACCCAGGCTGGAGTGTAGTGGCACGATCTCAGGTCACGCAACCCGCGCCTCCCTGGTTCAAGCAATTCTGCTGCCTGAGCCTCCTGAGTAGCTGAAACTACAGGCACATGTCACCACGCCCGGCTAACTGTTTTTGTATCTTAGTAGAGATGGGGTTTCACCACCTTGGCCAGGATGTTCTCGATCTACTGACCTTGTGATATGCCCACCTTGGCCTCCCAAATTGCTGAGATTACAGGCATGAGCCACCTACCCCAGCCGAGAACTGGTATATTTGTAACAGTGAGTTTTCCAATCCAAAACCAGGGTATGGGGTCCAAAGTGGCTCCCGCTGGAGGTCATGGCGCTCGCGAAGGCGAGGTCATCAGTTCAAGGCTAACCTGAGCAACTTCATAAGCTCAAACTGATTGGCAAAAAAAAAAAAAAATCAGGGTACATCTGCTCATTTATTCAAGTCTTTAATTTATTTCAAAATTGTATAGTGATCTCCATAAAGGTTTTACACAGCTTTTATTCAATTTATTCCTGGGCACTTTTTATTATAAATTTTAAAAATTGATTGATTTTAAATGATTAGCTTATAATATTTAAATTATTCATAGTTAAAGAAATGCCACTGTATGC